CGGTGGTCTCCCCTTCGGCTGGCCTAGCGCCGCCGAGCGCTCTTTCCCACTCGGCGATGAGCGCCGCGGCAAAGCCAGCTTTCGGTTCCGGTCTCTGATATCCCTTTTGCCGTCGGCGCTATCGGCGAGTGGAAAAGCTCACGCGGGCGGCGGCTTCGATGAGGAGCGGCGACGACGACGACGCCCCGAGGCTGGCGCGCGTAAACCGTGTTTGCGAAGCCGGGGTGCGGGCCGGCCCGGTACAGTGAGTCGTAAGGGTACAATGGGAAGTCTCGTCGATGATCGCGAACGTTCGCTTCGGACGACCCACTACGTTCGTACGAGTTTGTAACGGAGCCGGCTTTCTCGCTCAATCGGCGCTCATTGTTTTGAGAGTTTCATCAGTGGCTGCAGCGAGCGAGCGTTTGCTGGATTATCGTCTAGTGGGGCTTAGTCCGAGAGGCGAATCGACTAGTAACGGTCGAGATTTCATCGAACACACTCCAAAGGTAGTAGGCGTAAGAAACGTAAAGTAAACGCTGTCCCACCCCAGAAAAGTGCGACCTTGTGTTCTTATGTGGAGTACATCAACGCGAAGTGCGGTTTTCCGGCAGTTCCTTACGTATTTTCAATTCGGGAATGTGCGTCCTTTTGTTAGGCTATGTAATTGATCCTCGTTATGCATAGGCACTGCTTTAGTCGAAATGTTTCTACCCATTTTCTTCGCTTTTATCAGGCACTATCGTTACCCACGTTGTGAGTAGAAGCAGAAGAACAACTTTTAAGGGGTATTTTTATGAGAGCGTATTCGCCTAGCATGTTTTTTCCTTGGTGTTCCAATGACCGGGGTTACGAAACGTAGATGAGAAAATACCAAAAGGCAGCCTCGCGCAGGCGTGACTGATCCGAAACATATTTTTGGTGGAAGCAAACTGTAGCCGCAACCAGAATTCAAAGACCGATTCCGGCTGAATCACAACCTCCGTTCGCCTTTTCACTTTCACGGATCATACGTTTACAGGTAACTTAAGATGCTCGGGACGTGCGGATCGCTAAGCGTCGAAATAATGCTCGGCAGCCAATCAAGTCGCGGCATTAGGATATGAGAGGGCCCACGAACGAATCACCGAGCAAGGGGCGCAGAATCGCAAGTCACACCATACATTTCTTAAAACTACAGTGACTACACAAAACACATCCGGGGCTACACTCGAGTCGAGCGCACATCTGCCACACTAACCTCCATTCTCGACACACCCTCTCAGCCGCGAATAAAATAGACGAAGGTCGTTCGTCAAACGCGTAAATCACCCACTTTTCGCCGCAACGCTTTTTCTTTTTTTCTTATTTTTATCTCCCACTCAAGGCGAAGCGCTTTCTTCCGATACAGCTAGGGCTCTTCGCATCCCGTTGGCCCCGAACTCACTAAAACTTCACCCTTCATTCCACTCGGTATCACTCGCCGCCACCCTCGCCCTCACCTTCCCCCGCGCTTCCGTCCGAACGCCGTCTTGCCCCTCTGCCCCGTCGCTTCTTCCCCGCTTCTCTTTGATTTTCGTTTATTCTTTGTCCGTTGTAGAGCGTGTCTCGCGGTCTAAAGCGCGAGCAGGCACCACCGGTGCAGCGGTGGGGAGGGTGCGACGTCTCTTCCGGCACTTCCCTCCCTCACGCGGGGCGTACTTCGCAACTCGGCGCCGAAGCAGCGCGCCGTGCCAGACGGGGAGAGGCTGCTCTCGGAGGGACCCACTGTTTTAGTCTCTCGGAGCTCTCCGCGTCCGTCCCGCCGTCGGGGTCCCGGCACGAGACGGGAAACAAACATCTAGAGAGAACCCGGCGAACGGAGCGAGGAGAGGTAGACGAGTGAACGGAGAGAACGAACAGACGGGCGCCGGGGAAGCTAAGAAGAAGAAAGAAGGAACGAACGGAAGAAGAAAGTGGAGCAGCAAAAAAGCGAGGGCGTGCCTCACTGATATATATTCGCCCGAGTACCGAAAAAAAGCTTGCGCACGTACGGCCCGGAAGGGGGAAAAAAAAGAAAAGCAAAAATAAAGAGCCGCTGGCATTACCGAAAAGAACAAATATGAATAACTGAGTAAAAAGGAGCAATATATTGATTACGCCGAACTATATAACGAGGGCGTTGAAGTTTTTTTTTTCTTTTAGAGTTTTTTCTCCCTAAAAATTGAGAAGCTTTTTTTTTTTTTCGAAATTTATTTTCTGCGAAAAATCTTTCGGCTCTTAATTTAGTCGATATTCTCGTCCAAATATTATATTTCGCACCAAACTTTGGAAACACGCGTAATATGGTGTTCTAGCTGCGGCGCGTGAAGGTATGGAAGGAAACTGCGAAAATATTGAAGTGGTGGCTCACAAAAGTGTGCCGGGTATAGCAATGTTCCTGTCGAGTTGGCAGCTTCTAGTCGGAATCAAACCAAGACGTTTCTTTTTTGCTCTAGCCACTGGAGCATCTTAATCAGATCATCTACGTTGAATATGTAGTTGTAAAAACGTTTTTATGGTTTTGGGAATTGGGAGTTCTACCAATAACTAAATTAGCGGCTTCTAAAAAAGAATGAACAAAAAGCCAATACTTTTGTACGTAAAATCTGAAGACAGATCAAGGCAAATAAGCCTTCCAGTCACTTTTTTTTTGTGTTGAAACCTAATTAGATTTTTTGTGCCGTAAGTTCAGTTCGAGGTAGTAGCCAAATGTTCCAAATAATGTAATTAATGGCACATTTTTCTCAAACCCCACGGTCTTTGGTTGACAATAAATTAACACAGGAAACGGGATATCAATTCCTAGTAGACAAAAACATTAAACCTGGTAATCATTCCTTATACGCAAAGAAAAACAACAACACAAAAAAAGAGATACAGGAAAACCTCGTTATAACAAAGTTGAAGGAGCGATCGTAATTATTTCGTTATAACCATTAGTTTGTTATAGCCAATGTTCATTTCTTCCCTAATAGCAAGCAAGGGGAATTATGATTGCTTTGTTATATCCATTAGTTTGTTATATCCCATTTTGTTATAACGAGGTTTTACTGTATATCTTACTCCATTCAAAGTGACCTCGCTATCTTGCCGTAACGTGTGTTGCCGTGAATAACATATCCGTCTTCTGTTTTACCTTAGCATCGACCACTCACGTCAATGCGATGTCAAAGCATGGACAATGCGCTCATTCTGTGGAGTAGGTGGCTGTAACGGCTCCTAGAGCTAAGAACTGGAGCAGCCAGTCTCGCTTTTCTAATATATAAGTAGTGTGACCCGCCATGCCTTCTCCACATCTTCGTCAGGGCGCGAAGAATTACATTCTCCTCTCATATCCGAAGGAACAGATGAACAAAAACACGTTGCCACGCTGCTGAATGTGACACTCGAGTCTAATGTTCCTATGTAGACAGATTTAGAAAAAAGATGTGGAAAACGGAGTAATAAAGTGCTCGCAGAAATAGAAATATCTTCATTTCGGCGCACACGCAATAGTTTATTCATGTACGCAAATCCCTCAGCACACCAAATTAAAAAAACAAAAATGCCATTTTATGAGGGTGAACTAAGAGCGTGTTTACGACTTCTGACGTCACATAGGATTTCCGCTTTTGAGCAGAGTGCAGCTCTATGTGCAAGTAGGGCAGGTTTCTCTCAAGCAAAAAGACACTTGACATAAAACGAACACCGCCAAACGTTGCGTGATCGTAAGACGTAAGCATGAGGGCAGACCGAAACAAACGGACATTGCTGAAACGTTTCTGCTGCCTTCCAGTTGTGTCAAGTCCGAACAGAGAAAGGCGAGATGTATTTTAAGGTAAAAATGAAATGTACGACCTGTTTGTTAATGAATAACTCAACCCGACAACCTGATGCTCATTTTTTGAATGTACGTAGCTTGATATTTATGTTGTTTCGTTAAATACGCAACCGATATAAGCATGTCACTCTATATATTCTAATATAGTATCTTAAAACTAAATAGTAACGCGGTGAATTAAACTGGGGACGTAGCTTCGTTATTCCAATGGCAATTTCCACAGGGCGTTATGCAATGTAGGAACAAGACTAAGGCGCCTCACTCCAGCAACATCAGCTGAGCGGGAAAAACCTTGAAATTAGCAAACAAGTACTAAGACGCACATGCCAAAATAATCTTCTAAGAAAAACAAAATGGTGAGGTTTTACTAAACGTTCTTGTGAAAGGCATAGCAGTAGCGTGTAGACACTCGGTTGCCATGTAAGATCTCTGGAGTTTGAAAAGCAAATGCGTAGCGGTGTTTCTGGTAACAAGACGGAGAATCGTCCAACGCCCTGCAGACACCTGCAGTGTTCGTGCGGAAAGGCATTGCTTGCGGGCCACGAAATCTCATCGACAGCTCTGGAAAAAGATCGGTGTTTCTTCTTGCGTGTTCCGCAGGGAAGCACTCGCTCGGAGAGGCTCTCGAAAGCCTGGCACGCGCTCGGCGACCTACGAACAACCTAAACATGTGGTTCCCAAAGAAAAGCTTTCTATCAAGCTGTATCTGTTTTCTATGGTTCGCTTTCCTATATAACTGTGAATGCATGACTGAATGTGATATTCTTTTGATTTCTCAAACGCTTCAAAACTTTTCATGGCCTTCATTGAGGTAGCATTCGATGCGCGACAGAACACTCAACATGTGAGAGCAAATAGCTGGTTTATTTTGTTTTTGTGCTCTGCTTTGACCTTCAACTATGCACTCTTAATTTCCTTTCTTTTTTAGGCCGATAGCGTGCCAACTTTTTTGGTGTACCTTCCTGACCCAAACTTGCTCGTGCGTTCCGGTTGAACATGCTCCTAACGTTAAATGAACGAGCACAGTGAGACGTTCAGTAATCAAAATTTTTAGTCCGACGTTAAGACCTGACACCCCCGCGAGCAGCACGTCTTCTCCGCTGCCGTCACCAGCCAAACCAGATAACTCAGTTTGGCCTCGCTATAACGGAACTTCGCGTTCCCTTTGGGGGCTCATCGAGAGCGTGGGCTTTGCGCTCACCTGAGGCGAAGTGCGGCGTTACTCCGACGAGAGCCAACAGAAGCGGCAGCACACACATCACCGGCGCAATCCGCCGGAGCAGGTCGTCGACGGTGCACTCGGCCTGCCGCCGTCCTCGGGTCCTGTTCCCACGGCCGGACATCGCTACGCCACCGCGCACCGTAGTCGGCGAGTACGACGACCGAGCACCAAACGCCGCTACTCGAGCACCTCTCCGCCGCCGTCGGTCGTCGAGTCACAGCCGGCGTTCATCGATGAGAACGGGCACGATCACGGCCCGCCGCACGGGACCTCGTCGACGGAGAACCGAGCGCGTGCTACAGCGAGACACCTCACCATACCAGCAGAGGCGTGCGTGTGCGCGCGTCGATGGCCAAGCGAAACACAGCCGCGATGGGGGGACGCAGAGCGCGCACTCACGAAGCCGACCGCACCGTCGAGATCAATGAAGGCGAGACCGAAATCGCCGGGAGAGCGAGCGCAGCGCACCACGTGGCCGAACCCCGAACGCGCGGGACGGTGAGAAGCGAGCGACCCTCGGGCCAATCAGAAAGCCCGAAGCGGCTCGTTTCGCGGTGCCCGACGCGTCCCTGAGATGGCGCTGCGAGTCGTTGGCGGCAGATTCGGTTTCGCTTGGGCTCACCCCGCCCGGCCGCTCCAACTTCGGCACCGGCCGCCAGCACACCGTTCCGAGCCGCCGGATTCGGCTTTTCTTTTTTTGGCGTTGTTTTTTCCCATCAGCGACCGGCGGCTAATAACGAAGGCGCGCTGGATCCATTGTTCTGGGGAAGGCTAACCGACTCCTGCGGTCCGGCAGCTGGCAACGGCCGGTTGCCGGCTCTGCGAGGGAGGGGGTCCCGTGAGTTTGCTCAGGCCAGGCTTCCGCTGCGGGGCGGAGGGGGGACAAGGCGGAAGGGGAGAAGAGGGCGAGGAGGAGGGGGCCGGCTGCCAGGCGAGGGATCCCCCGCGTTGCATGCCGGTCGTCCTCCGCTCTCCGGGACGCCTCCTGCCTCTTGCCAAGCGCTGTTTTCCGTTTCACAGGTGGAGTGGGAAGCAGCGCGTTGGGCCGCTGTGCTTTCGTGAAAACCATGGGCCTACGCGAACGGCAACACCGGCCTATGCTACCGATGCTTCCGTCCGTCCTCGTCGCCTACTTCTGCGTCGTCTGCTTAAACGGTGAGACACGCCAACAACTTTTTTCCGTCCGAGTTGGAGTGAGTCGTGGCGCGGTTGCGCATCATCTGTTCGAAGATGAGGAGCACGAGGAGGCGATCTTTTTTTCTTTCTCTACCGCTCTCTCGCCGCGCGCGCTCCGCCTGCTGCGACGCGCCTGCGCGTGGTTCGAGGAGCACGTGGGATATCAATGGCTGCGTCCACGGTGCGGTCCGCGGGTGTCACTTCGCAGCCCTCTCGATATTCATTGTGGCGGGCTTTTTGTTATTTTTTCGAGACGACCGTGGCGACGGCTTTGAGTGCTCTTCCTTTCGAATTGTGGTTGTTGTCACGCTCATCCGCGTGTTTATCAGTGTCCTACTTTATTTTCTTTTTTCACTCCAGTTAAGAGAGGTTTAAATGAATGGCCAGATAATGTCTGTTCACTTCCCACTTTTCACGTTCCTTTTCACTCCACAATGTTCAGTTCATTTCTGCAAAATTATTTCCCAGTTTTCATATCGTTACGCTTTAACGTATGGCTTTAGCTGTACTATATCGTTTTCGTGGTGTATTATCTTTATTATTCTGCTCCTTTCCTCGTATCAGAAAGGATCAAAGGAACGGCCCCAAGATTATCCTGGAGCGATCTCGACAAAACGAAAAAAAAAAAAAAAAATATATATATATATATATATATATATATATATATATATATATATGTATATATATATATATGTATATATATATATATATATATATATTTCTCCTTTCGATGGTGTCAGCAAGGTACACGCCGTTGTCACCCACTTTGAGCGACGTCTGTGGATCCGTTACACTTTCTTTTTTTTTTTTTGAGCGGGACGTTGAGACACGCGATCCCGTGCCGTCAGTTCTCCATTACAAAAGCAACACATGTTTCAAACCACCGTGAAATATATCCTCTAAAGGTAGTCGAGACTGTAGCTGGTGTTTCACTGCAGTGCAGTGCGTGTTACAAATTAAGACGAGGGGAATTAAAAAAAAAAGAAAGAAAAATAGAACGCGTTGGACGCGTGACAATCCTGTTGTCAGTTTAAACGCTGGCACACAAGTGAATGCTAAAAAAAAAAAACAAAAAAACCATGCATTATAAAACAAAGTGTTTATACACTAATTTGAAACACCTTGTCGTCTCGTCAACAGGGACACCTAATAACATAGTTGCAAACTGTCACTTCGTTAAGAGTCTACGCTCGTTGTCTTTGGTGTGACGGCTTTACTTCGTGCGACATTATTAAGGTGATCAATTCGAGAACTTGCCCTTATCTTGTTTTTTTTTCTTCTGTTGTTATTACGAAACATTGAACAACAGGGTGCTCAGAAAAATCATCCACTCCTTTCGACGGATGTATTCTAGCTCATCATACCTCTTTTTTTACATGTTCCTACCGCTGAGCAAACGCAACTGGTATAATTTGCATTAGCATAGAGAGAACGACAACTCTTCACTTTTCTTCTAAACGTCAAAATTAAGTCGCTTTATTTTGCCCATCATTTACCTTTTTATTTTATTTATTGCGCCCAAAAGGATAATCTATCAGTAAAACGGCAGATCTACTTATTTCCTGACCTTCTGGTTTACTATTATTTATGTCAGCTGTAGTTTTCCGTTTTTTTTATATTTAAACTATAGTATTTATAAAGATGATGAGAGCTCAAGAACTGCCGAAACTCTTATTGAGATCCTTTTATGGAAGTGAAAATAAAACGAGGAACGGGCTCTCGCACTTGTTCTTAAAAAACAAGTGCCTGGATTCTTGCTTAGCTCTCACTATCGCTTAAGTATACAGAGCCCATTTAATATCGCAAAACCTTTGAGAATGTTTGTCTATGCCGGTCCAGTTGCAGTTTTGATCGCCTCAGATTTCACAGAGCGTACTCAGCAACCGCTGGTTCAAGCGCTTCTTCGTAGGACGGTACGCTCTTTGAAAAAGAAGTGAAAACCGGCTTCTTAAAAGAAACGGCGATAGCAATTATGAGTGATAATATACGCAACATGAGTTTTGGCCCGCATTCAGCCTCTGAAACTATTTTGGAACTGACATGCCGTGAGTGTAAGTGTTCAACTGGAGTCTAGCATTCACCGCAATTCCTCGGGAAGTTTGCAAATTTTTGACGGCCTCACCGTTAGAAAGCGGGCGGTTAATTGAATCGGGGTAAGTTACGCATCCGTGTTTTAACATTAAAACCTGAAGTGCAAATTGTTTCTCCTTGGAAATTACTGAGCTTTCGAGAACTCGCGTCAATCACATCGGACGAGTTTCTACCGTCCACACTAACAACTTCTCGTAAAAAGAAACTAGAAAACGCTGCATGACAAAAGATGAAATAACTTGCTTTAGATATTTTCAAATTATTACATTGGGTGTACAAAAGAAGCTTCCCGAAGCTGTAAAAATAACCCAAGTGCATGTTCACCAGCCAGCTTACACGTAATAAAAGCTGAACCTCGAAAAAGTTGAGCTTGTTGTAGGGGCATCGGTGGCCGAGTGGGCTAGCGCACAACAGCTCGGAGCACATGGTGCGAAAGATCGCGCTGCAGAATCCAGGAATCCTAAGTTCAATCCCCACACTTGCCTTTTTCGATCTGGATGAGCATCGTGCCGGCGTGCGGTCCTGTATCACTTCTGCTTGGCGAACGTCAAAGACCCCAGGCTAGCGGTTGTACTGCGCTGGCTAAATTTCTAGTCTATACACTCCGTGCAACGCGACTGGCGCGCCGCCGCGCGGCCGGTACCGAAGGTAGGCAGTGAGCACCCCAGAGAAAACGAAACCGAAACCACGCCGGCGTACGTTGGTACGCGTTGAAGTCGGAGTGGTGCTGTTGCGCTGGGTTCACAGCATGAAGTGCTGCCTGTGCTGCGTCATTAAGTGCTTCAATAGTTATGCGTCGTATCTCGTGGAGACAAAGTTTCACAGTTTTTCCCCTCGCCGATGTTTTGTGGGACAGCGACAACGATGGAGCCGTGCCGTACGACGCGAGAAATTTGGTGTCCCGATCATGTCTGCCATTGTGTCGGCACGGCTGACATATTCTACACTGCCGCTTTGCGCTCTGCGTTTGTTTTCGTACCAGTAACGCCTACATGTGTCAGCGCCGATGGGTCGAACTGAAATGCCATCCCACACTCGCGGGTATGCAGTGCCGATTTCGTTGGCGGAATGCCCTCCAAAGAAGTTTCGTCCCCATCGTACGTGTCGATGATATTTCCGGACAAGTATGGCACGCAATCTGTACTTCATGAAGAAAGATTTGAACGGTAAAAAAAGTGAAAAATATAAATCTAAAGAAAACAACCATGAAACTCGGAATCACTGGAGAGTCGGCGTTTGAGTATGGAAGTTTATGTGGTGTGCTTTCTTTCTTGATAAGCCTCCTTTTGGATGTGGAAACACTGACACCCCGAGTTCTGTAGACAACAATTTTTTTTCTCGGCTTTAGAGCCACCTATCGCAAAGTGGTTCGAACTGGAAATACCGCCCACTGGTCCCTTCCTACCTGTAAAGTGTGCACCTCCCACGATGAGTGGTATTATCTTGACAGCCTTTGACGGTCAAAGCCAGTTCCCATTTGGTTACGCCGCCCAAACTAAATTTCCACCTGGTTTCGCTATGCCAACTATTTTTGTTATAATAAGTGTGGTGCCAAGTGACGGTCATGTCAAAGTACCTGTGGGCCGAAAATCAGCACCTCGCACAACAGGTTATTACACAACAGCTGACCGCAAAAGCCCTTGGCGGCCAAACCGTGTGTTGGCCGACAACTTCGTTTTCTCGGCTTTGGAACCACCTTTCGTAAAGTTGTTTCGATTGGAAGTACAGTCCACTAGTCCCTTCCTACCTCTAAAGACTCCACCTCCCCCGACCAGTGGTATTCTCTTGACAGCCTTTTCATGGTCAAAACCGGTTCCCATTGAGTTACGCCGCCCAAACCAAATTTTCACCTGGTTTCCCTGTGCCACCTTTTTTTTTTTTTGTATAATAAGTGCTGTGTCATGTTACTGTCAAGTCCAAGCACCTATGTGCCCAAATCTGCACTGTGCACAGCCCGCTATAACGCAACATTTTGGGTCCAATATTGGATATACCGTACAGCTTTATTTCTTCATTCGTTAGAAACAACTTTCACACCTGCTGTCTTAATGAAACTTGGCACACTTCGTGCAGAAACTTAGTGGACATCTCACTCGCCTCCAATATCATCGTTCCAGCAGTCCTACGTTTACAGCGACGAGCGAAATAAATTTCCCACTCAAAGCAATTATGGTGGCGGCCGTCTTGCTTTTCGGAAAATCGCTCCAACTCCTTTTTTGGCCGCAACTAGAGAAATTCCCCCGAATAACGACTAAAACTCAATATATAAGAAGAGGAGAACAGCTAAATGCCCTTCTTAGGTCTGCCCCAGCATTCATGCAACGTCACCCTCAACGTATCGGCTCAAAAAGCAAGAGTTTCGTCGGTGCGCGCTTCCGCCGCCACAGCTTGGCATGCGAAAAGGCGCCGCAGGCTGCTGAACGCGACTCACGGTCGAACGCCAGCTCCTCCGCTAGCGGCGCTGCGCGCGTTTTTCAAAGCGCCCCCTATAGTTCCCGCACGGAGTGTATAGCTGGGCGACAAGTCGCCCGTTGAGGCAGACTATGTTCTAGGCGGTATAAACATACACACACCCCAATTTTTTTTATTGAGGTTGTTGAAATTTATTTAGATTCTTACGGTGGAACCCAGTTTCAGTTTTAACTTTTATACTTCTCGATCGCTTTTTCCAAACCTAAAATATAATTTTTCTAACTGCACTCTATAAGTCTTCTTTTTTTTCCGTTTATATAAATCGCATACCATGTGCGTAAATTTCGAAATTAAACCCCAGAAGGGCCGCGCTTGATCTCTATTGAAGCGTGTGTCTTTCTCGGACACACCATCATGCCATCGTGGTTTCTCATTTTTATATTTTTTTCTCCATCTTCTAAACTAGAGCTAAGTTG